TGAGAAAAGTTATCCCAATTTACTGTGTTGAGTTGGCATTGTACAGAAATTGACAGCCATATTGATCTAGAAATGTTAATTTTTTTTCCATTTGTAATGGGGTAATGCACTGTTTTAAATATGTAAGGTTATATCTATATGGGTTTGATTAGAGAAACTAATAAAGTATTCTCTAAATAATGAAAAAAAAAGAATAAGACTACAAGAGCAAGAAGCAATTTAATATGTTCCAGGACCATTTTCATCTTTAGAATTAAGGATTATTTTAATCTTACATTGTTGCCTTTTCTCTTTTACTTTCCTTTTTAGTTTTATTTTAGGAGTCCCTGTTTTTAATGTTCATACAGAGATGTCTTTAACTAAAATACCGAATAGTTTCTCTGGTGTGAAATACTATAATAGTACATAGGATCCTAAGGAGATAATTAATAATGTGAAATAGGAAGTAAAGGGCTAAAGGTGTAGGAAAAGTAGAAAGGGTGGTGGAAAGGTAATAAGAGAGAGGAAAAAATATATGAGAAATTGAAAAAATGGAAATAAAGTGCTTGTAAATGGGGAGGGGAGGAGGGGGTGAAGGGAGGGCAGGGACAAGGGGAAAAAATGAGAACCAAGACCTATCATGTATAGGTACAGGATCCCAATAATAAATGTAACTGTATTGTATACCTAGATTGTACCAATAAACTCAATAAAAAGAAAAAAAATAGTTTTAATTCCAAGAAGCATAGGAATATTTTTGTTCTTGGGTGTTTTCTTCTCCAACTTATGTATAAGATTACTAAGATTGTAGAAAAAAAAGTTTTATATTTCAACCACTTAAAATATATTTTTGATGTACTGGCTTGCAGCAGAAAGTGAAATTGCAACAAAACTTTAATAAAGGGTGGAAAGGCTTAATTTTTTATCTAAATCAGTAGATGAGAACATGTTAATGAAGGCAAGTGTGAGAATTAACCTTATGCAGGGAACATAAAAACTCAGAATTTTCTTACTAAGTGACCTACTTCACCCTGTACATGGGTTAGCTCACAAAGCATGCTACAGATCAACAAAAGCCTGAGTCTTATAGTGCTATCCATATGTATCTCTGAGGCTGGTTTACAGTTGTTCCTTAATTCAAACAGCAGAATTTACTATAAAGTCTCAGTCTCAGATCTAGGTTGTACTTGGTCATGCCTCTCTGGGAAAAAATTTTGCCATATCTGAATAAGTGTTCTGTTGTGGTTTCCAAGCCTCCCTTGAATGATAATATTTGAACAATGAATTCTTGTCGTAGAGCATGCTCTAAAATTGTGTTAGATCTCTAACTCCACTAATTCCTGATTTATCCACAAAAGTTAATGACAGAAAGTACCAGCCAGTAAATATGTGATATAACACTTTATATTTCTTACCCTCTCTTTTGGAGGGGTCACACATGATTAGTTGTAGCTGTGAGCATGAGCATTTAAGAGCTGTTTACAGCACCTACAGTTCTTCTTCCCTGAATGCTGACAGCCCAGGATCCTAGGTGGCCTAACTATAAGAAAGCAGACCCCACACTAACTCTGTATAGTAAGTCCATTGCACACTAACCTTGTAACAGGAATGTGAAACAAACTTTGTTAAATTACACCATTGAGATTTGGTGGTTAATTTTTAACAACCACCCCCAATTACAATCTGAAGAGCCATTTGCAAACAAGTACATACATACATAAACTAAGAATACTATTTTAGACGTGGGAAAAGCACATTTTCCTGTCATTTTTCACCTTTATTGGAATATAATTCACAAATAAAAATCACATGTGGTTAAAGTATGCTGTGTAATATCTGAATGTTGATATACATTTCAAATAATCACTGTGAATTTCAATTAAAAATCACTATTGTTATAATTATATCGCTGCTATTCAACCTTCAGACTTTATCCATTTTGCATAACTGAAACCTTGCATCCCTTACCTAACATCTTCCACGTCCCTCCCACACTGTGTTTCTCTCGGCAACCAGTATTCTGTCTTCTACTTCTAAGAATCTGAAAACTTTAGATTCCATACATGGTATTAGTGTGATGCTGGCTTCATTAAATGAGTTCATCAGAGTGGCTGGATAACACATTTTCTGAGGTTTTCTTATCTACTCAAAGACAGGATCCACCAAAGAAGAACACAATCATCTTTAATCTTATGAAAATTTCATTAACCAAAAAAGGTAAAACTCACATGACACAGAAAGAGATTGAAAGTCAAACATCACAGCAGCAGAGAGAGCTTGAAAGTTAAAGCACCTTCTTCTGTCTTTTGGACTAATTAAGAAGAAATGGTGTTTTTTAAATATTTGTAAATCAACCTGGTCTTCAGTTTTTAGTCTTTAGTGTTAGTGCTGTTTCAAAAATTTAAAAAATATTTATCTCCTTATTGTTTTTGGTCAATTGTGGCTTCTTATTCTTCTTTATTCACTTATGGAAGGTTATTTCTTGCCTATAGGTTATTCAATTTTTTTGTCATTTACTGTTCATAATATTCTCTGATCATATTTTTATTTCTGAAATATCTATAGTGATGTCTCTTCAGTCATTCTGATTTTATTTGAGCTTTATCTCTTTATTCCATAATTTTTCCAGTTAGAACTTTTAAAAATTTTATCATCTGAATACAAAAAAACCCACTTCTTACTTGTGTGTTTTCTTATTATTTCTTTATCATGTATTTATTTCTTCTGTATTATATATTATTTCCTTCCTTCCTTGTGCTACACTCAATTATGTGAAATTTGTGCAAGGTTAGATCATGATATTGAAATAATTTTCAAAGGTGTATCAGGAATGTGGGTTCTTTAGTGAGGAATTAAAAGCACTAACTTGTTTGGATTTAGACAAAAAGTCACTTTTACATATACTCTACTAACTTTATACGGTGACCCTATATGTCAAGGGTTCTGTATCCAATATAGTTAGCTAACTATAAATGTAAAATATTTGGAAAAAAATCGCAGAAATCTCCCAATAGTAAAAACTAAATTTAACTGGTATTTGTCTTGAGCTTTCTAGTTTCTGTTAAATTAAAAGGGTGTTACTCAGAAAGATTTTCTAGTTTAACAGAAACTTCTTTTTGGATAAAATGGCAAGTGTTTGACATGTATGTCAGTATTATGGGATGTACTAAATGTCAGTATGAATGATATGTAATAATTTAGTTAACTTCTAAGTTTAATACAGTACTTCTGGAGCACCCTAGCCCTAGAGCTACATCCAATCATACACTCCTTCATATAATGGAAGAATCTACCAACTGATCTAAGAAAGTTTTCTGCTTCTACCATCACAATATTGTTGCATTTGTATTAGATACATTTTTATACAAGTTATTGTGATTTAACTAAAAATAAAATTAACAAGAATCTACCATATTTGGTTTCCTGAATCATCCAGTTTTGTGCATTAGGAAAATTAGTGATTTTATATAAAAGAAAAGACATAATTTTTCTGTTATTCTTATAATTAAAGATTGTCAATAGTTATAATAAAGAACTGAGTGTTTCTCAGTGGCCAAAATCAGTGGAATTCAATTTGCAAAAGGAACTTGATAGAGTTTTAAAATTTTTGCTTAAACAATTATGAGATCATAGTACCTCATTCTTGTATTCATTCTGTTCCCTCTGCTAGCACTTTCCTACCAAAATCTGACCTAATCACTATCAGGATAGGACAAAATTTATAGGTGCCAGTACTGAGGAATATCTTCTGCGTCATTTCACCTCTCCAGCCTCTTCTTTAGGCTTTCAAATCACTGTGGTTACTTCTTCCCCAGATTCATCCCCTATTAAAATTTCGCACTCACTTTTTTCATGCACTGACTTTTCTTGACTGAAGCAGTTCCATCTCCCTGATAACTTCAATCAGAGGAGCTCATACACTCATGAAAGACAATAGGCATTTAGGAAATACACCTTGAATTATATGGTACAGCTTTCCTTTTATATTACGGGGAGATGGATAGAAATAGATAGACACATGTAGATGAGAGCATTACGAGTAACACACATCTACATCCAATTTTGTTCATGACTTCCATTCTCCAATGTGTATAACTCACTTATTTATGTGAAATATTTTTCTATCCAATCTTTTGAAAATTATAAATTGTGTTTTGTAAATAATTGGTTTCGATTTCATGATTTTATCCCATATAATTAAATTGGAAAGGATTCACTTCAGTGACACTAATTTGCTGGTCCTGTGTTAACCACTGAAAAAAATCAGTTGAAAAAAAATACCCCCACATTGCCATAGAAAGCAGTAATTTGCAACATTCATCATTTTTTGCGTCCTGTGGAGCATAGATGCCAAAGATTCTAAATTAATATGATGAAATTGAGCACACTGTAATTACAATACTCTTATCCATTGCTCCATCATTCTTCATCTACATTATCGCATTGAACCATCCGGGAAAAAAAAAAAAAAGCCTGCTAAACTCCTTGTGCTATTATTTGCTATCAAATTGATTCATTATGTTTCTCTTTTGTTCCTAATTACAGTTATCAACCTTCCTCATCTGTAAAAGTTGAACCAATGTGTCTTTGGCTCTTTGGCATCTTCAACTTCCATGCAGTACAAAGCTGTTTATAGAATGCAGTTTATCACCCAACAGATAACGAGAAAGTGCCTGCCATATGAAAAGTACTGGAACATTTGAGGACCATAAAATGAGACACAAGGTATGGAGGAGGTTAAAGTTTGGTTGTAACAACGAGACGTGCAGTCACAGTAATAAAAAAGAAATAGAACCCGGGTGTGGTGGCGCATGCCTGAAATACAAGCACTCTGGAGGCTGAGGCAGGAGGATCGCTGTGAGTTCAAAACCAGCCTGGGCTACACAGTGAGTTCAGATCAGTCTCAACTTCATAGTGAGACCCTGTCTCAAAGAAACAAACAAACAAAAGGAAATAGATATATAAAAGTTCGACAGCAATAAAACCATTAGGTTTAAGCTTTACCATAGACTCCTCCTTGAGGGGCCAAGGAGCTTTCCCGGGGCCGCGGGGATAAACCCCCGATGGGTCAGAGGATTGTCGAGAAGGTTGCAAGAACAGTATGAGGAAGAGGAGAGAGATTTGAGCAGGCATGCTGTGGGGACGGGTGAGCTTCGAGAACAGAGGCTTTGCAGAGGTGCATAAGGGAGCTGCGCGCCAGAGCATTGAAAGGCTGGGATGGGGCTGACTTCTCAGCAGGAAACGGACTCCTGGCTGGGGAAGTTTACGGAGTCTTCACAAACCTCACTCGCTCTTCCTAAATACTTTTCTAATGATCAAATATTAATTTATGTCAAATAAACGGCACCCATTTTAAGTGTATAGTTTAAACAAACGTATACATTGCATATTTATGTAACAACCAAGACATATTTCTCAACCCCACCATCTTCCTCCGTGCCCCTTTGTAACCAACTATTTGTTTGCCAGTCCTTCAAGGTTAGGGGACAACCTCGGAACAGAGAACAGGTTTCCATGGAAGAAATACCCAATGCCATTTCTTTAGTGTCTAATAACAATTCTCTAGAAATCCTACTGTGCACATAAGAGAAGAAGGAAAGGTCCTAAAGTCATAACATCTAATGACTTTTCCTGGAGAGAGAAAAATAGCTAATTCTATCACTACTATAGCAAGTTGACATTTAATAGATCAGAATTTCTGGGTGTTTCCGTACACATTCTCTTAGATTACAGAAGCAAAGAAAAATCACCATTAATTCAAAGTGCAAAAAAGCAAATGGTCCGCAAAATTCATTCGTGACCTATCACCTAGTCAATATGTTCCGAGTGGAGAACAAATGAACATCTAACCTATGAGATACAAACTCCCTGAGATCGTTGCCTGCTAAAGGAAGAGAAGCGAGAAAGGGCGAAAAGGCAAAAATGAGGAGAGGAGTCTCTGAAATGTGACTGTTTCACTTTCTCACCACCTAGATGCCTTCAGATTCCCAACAATTCTGTCGGGAGGATGGCAAAAAAGACTGAAACTTGTAATAGTCACAGGGCGCTGGTCTATATAGAAAGACTGATCAGACGCCGTGACCATTGAACAAGCCATAAGCTCAGCTCTCCCCACCCCAGAGGATGCTCTCTTCACATATTTATTTGTTCTTCCTCAATCCAGAAATAATATAATGGCCTCAGAATTGTCCTATAAAATTATGCTCATGGTAGTACTAAATAAGGTCTCTAATGTTCCCAATTGCTAAAAATTCTGTGGTTAATTTATTGCTGATTCCTTTTAAAATAATCTTACAAGCATATACTATAATTCCCTTCTTCCCTCCTGTGCGCTCTTAACATTTTTATGTTATAGATGGCACAGCAACAGTTTCCATTTTTGCTTCATACCACACATTAGACACGTATTTTATGTAAACAGCGGGCAATAAATACGTCAGAAATTAAGAGCAATGCAACGCCTGTCACAGGCAGCCCACTTTCCCGTTGTACGTAGCTCCGAAGCAGCTGTAGATAATACAGAAACGAATGAGCCTAACTGTTCTGGTACAGCTACTTCACACTGATAGTGGCCTGGACTTGTCCGTAGGCTGCACTTTGCTTTAGGCAGTCAGTTGTCTTAAAATAAAGAAATAAAACCTGAGATATAATTCATATATTATAAAGTTTATCCATTTAAAAATGTGTAATTTCATCAATTTTTAGTGAACACACGGAGTTGTGAACCTTACAACAATCAGCTTCAGAACATATATTACCCCAAAAGGAAATGCTCACTGCACGCTTCTTCTCGGCTGCTACCATTCTGTCAGCCAGTCTGCTGTTCATATTTGGGTTTGCCTGTTATAGATATTTTGTATAAATGAAATCAGAGAGGATATGGCCATTTCAGTCTGGCTTCTTCTATTTAGCAGAGTGTTTTCAAGATTCATCTGTGTTGCAGCTGTGTGAATATTTCTTTTACTTTTTTGTCATGTGATATTCCAACAACACGTGAGGGTTCCAATTTGTCTACATCTTTGCCAAAATCTGTGATTCCTCTGTGTTTAATAGCCATTCCAGTGTGAAATTATTTTTCATTATGATTTTTATTTCTATTTACTTAAGATGTGTATCTTTTCATGTGTGAATGGCCATTTGTATGTCTGTGTGAAATGTCTTTTAATCTTTGCCAATCTCGACTGGGAGCTTGTGGTCAGAATACATGAAGAACTGCTGAAATTCAACAAAAGTTGAACAACCCAAAACTAAAATTGACTAAAAGTTATTGCTTCTTTGTGCTCATACATTTATTAGGAACCTTGCTACCAGCTCTTGAATTTTGATTATACTTGTCTTAACTAACTTCTTATATTTTATACTAAAGCAAAAGAAGCATGTAAATATTTTTAACCAAAGGAACTACGTGAATTAAGAGCAAGTGCTCATTATTAAAAAGAAAAAGCTATACTCAAGATATGCAAAAAACTCCTTAAAGCTGAGACCTATAAAAATGTAAAATCAGGCTTTTGTAAGCTGTATTCCTCAGACTTCATGAATGGAGCCTAAGTGCTTTGGGCCTTAGAAAATATACCAACATACAGAGCGCATTTTCTTTAAATGTGATACCCATTTCAAAGAACCATGCCAAGAATAACAATGAAAAACCACAGGTCACACAACAAAACAAACAGTAACCAAAAACTTGCTTTGGATAGACACCTTTGGGTATATTTCTGGAGTACAACTGACAATTTGTGGTACAAAGCAACCATAGACAATAAAGTATAAGTTCAACTAACGTAGATGCAGTGATAATTCGATTCATACAAGAAAGTTTTAAGCCAATAATTCATTCATTGGAATAATTTTATGCTTGCTTTTTATAGGAGTAAGGGCCCAAACTGACCATGACTGAGAATAGATGTTCTAATACATATGGGATGATACATTAAATTCAGCCTGACAGTTTGGATTTTTTCTTAATGAGATCATTGTCACTATTTCCTTAGTCGGACCACATTTCAGCTAGATCTTTTCCTACTATGCCATTTCTCCTTCTATTCCTTCTATTCTCTCTCTTTCTGTCTTTGCTTTCTTCCCTCATCCTTTTTAGAATTACAGTATATTTGAAGTGCATGGCAAGGCATAGATCATAAATTCATAACATTCTTTCATTGGAAGATTTTGTGCATCCTTTGTTTAGTTAGTTGGAATCCAGCTAAATATTACTACATTTGGGTACTTACCATAGAAGTATTGCTGGATCTGCAGCTCTTAAACTTCACTTAGAAATGAACTTTTTTTCAGAACTCTTGAATTCCCTAAATAAAATGATAGCTTCATTTTTTCTTATACAGGTGAAAAACACCTTTTTGATTCAAAACCACTGTGAGTTTTTTTTTAAGCAGGGTCTCACTATGTAGTTGAGACTGACCTGGAGTTCACTATGTAGCCCAGGCTGATCTCCAGCTCACAGTGATCCCTCCTGCCTCAGGCTCCGGAGTGCTGGGATTACAGGTGTGAGCCACCATGCCCAGCTCACCGTGAAAATGTTTTTAAAAAGATTTTAAACATACAACAACTGCTTTCAAGCACAATATAATTTTGCCATGTACTAGTTTTTAGTCTCAAACTAAATCCAAAAACTTAAAATTTTTAGTAAGGTGAATAGTCTTTTAGCAAAGTAACAGAGGGTGGAGGGAGGTGGTGAAGGGGTGAGGGATATGGAGAGAAGGAGTCAGAGCAAGAGAGAATGAAAACAGAACAAAGAAGAGAACAAATTTACATGAATTAGTAAATTAGTAGTTTCAAGAATGAAGGATGGGAATCACTACAAATCTTAAAAATTTTAAAAAGATAAATTTAAAAATTTCCAGGGCCTGGTATTTAGCTCAGTGGTTCCACTGCCTGCCTCACAAGTGCAAGGATGTGAGTTCAATTCCCAGTACAAAAAAAAAAATTAAAAATTTCCAATAAGTCCAACAACTTATGAAAAAGGGAAAGGAAAAATCTTCATGGCCAGTATTACTTGCCCAAACTGATGCAAAATAAAATAGAAAAGCTTAGCCCTATATGCATAAAATAAATTGAGATTACATTTTCAAAATCTTCCACAACAGAAAAGGTCAGGCCAATAGACAAACATTTTTTTGTTTTTTTTTAAAATGTGGATATTATTTCACTATTAAATACAGTATTTTAGAAAGATAATTATTTGTAAGATCTAAATAAACCTAAAAACATAACATATTTAGGGTTGGAAAATGTATTATTGTTAAAATGCAAATCATATACAAACTGATCGAAGAATTTAATAGAATCTTAATCAGAATTCTTGTGGACTACTTTTTTGCATAGAGATTGACAAGTATTTTAAAACTTTTATGTAAGTTGAGTGGGTAAAACAGCTAAGGATGTCCTGAAAGTGAATATCTTAACTCTATGTGATCCTATGACTTACACCAATGTTCCAATCCTCATGAAATATATCAAGAGAAAATAATTTCCAGAAATAGTTCTGAACACAATAAATGAAGTTCATTTTTATTATGAGACCAAATCACATTACTGGAGAGAAACAAAAACAAAAACAAAAACAAAACTTTCTTTCAAAATTGGTGTTAAAGCAACTGGAAATGTTTAGTACAAAAAAATAAAATTTCATTTCCTCATTCATCATATACATAAAATTTAATTTATTATGAATGATATACCTAAAGGTAAATGTTAGCACTATAAAGCTT